AAAGAGGATAAAAGATTGCGAAATGTTTCAAGTTAGGACTTTTATTGATAAACATACATGTTCAAGAACCCAAGTTTTTCCTAACCATAGACAGGCAAACAAAAAGGTGTTGGGTGGTTTTCTGGCTGAGTTAATGTTTTTGAATGGCAAGGTATATCGGGGACATGAAATTATGACTGACATGAATGCTCAGTTCAAGATTAGTATATCATATTCTCAAGCTTGGAGAGCCAAATGTTATGCCTTGGAATTGTTGAGGGGGTCGCCAGAAGCATCGTTTGCCCAACTGCCGGCTTATTGTCACAATTTAAAGCTGAAAAATCCTGGGTCGGTAACTCATATCAAAACAGATAGAGATGGACGCTTTGAGTTGCTGTTTATCGCCATTGGTGCTGCGGTTAGTAAATCAATATAATTCTGTTGACTCATTTCTGTTAGTTACATGCATTTCACATTTAAATGATTATATTTCTTGTGTATATTATTTTTGTAGATTCGTTCGTTTATTACTTGCATGTGCCCAGTTATTATAGTTGACGAAGCACATTTGAAAGGTCGATACCTTGGAGTAAACTTATTAGCAGTAACCATGGATGCTAGCAATGGGATATTGCCAATAGCTTACGGGGTTGGCAAATCTGAAACCTTTGATTCATGGACATGGTTTATGGGGCATCTTAGGAATTGCATAGGTCCTATTAGCAATCTGACAATCATATCCCGATAGGGCAAACTCAATTGACAACGCTGTTAGAAGGTGTTTCCCAGATGCTTTTCATGGACTTTGTGGTGTTCATTTGTATAGAAATCTAAAATCAAGGTCTGCTGGTATAAAAAAGCACAAATGGACATACTGGAAGGCTGTAAAAGCTTATCGGGAAGTGGATTTCAATAAGCATATAAACTGTTTAAGACGTGTTTTGCCTTAGTGTGCTCAAACACTAGAAGATGTCGGGTTTGAAAGATGGTCAAGAGTACATCAACTTGGAGCAAGATATGGTTTCATGACGTCTAATAGTGCAGAATCAATCAACGCTCTAAGTCGTCATTCCCGGAAATTACCCATTACTATGTTAATGGAGTTTTATCGAGCCTCTATTCAATAGTGGTACTACAAGAAAAGAAACCATGCAGGTATTATTTCTTTGAATTCGTAACTTATCATATATTTTACTAAGTATTATTTATTTAAATTTACAGGAACATTGGAACATCGTGTTATACCATGGACTGAAAAAAAGATAACGAAACGTGTTGTGAAGTCAACGTCATGGAGAGTTGAACCATGTTCAAACACTTTGTTTGAAGTACTGGATAATAACTTAAATGGGCTTGTCGATCTAAATGCAAGGACGTGTAGTTGTATGAAATGGCAAACATCTGGTTATCCGTGTGGCCATGTTATAAAAGTTGCTCTTCATCTAAACCAAGATAACTCAAGCATATACGCTATGGATTGCTATACTACAGAAGTATATCGATAGACTTATGCCGAGATTGTCTACCCTATTCCACATCCTTCTGAGTGGGACATACCAGATGACTTACAAACAGTTTTGCCACCAGCCATGGACAGAAGGCTACCTGGCCGACCAAAAAGTCACGATCGTATACCGTCTAAGGGTGAAGAGAAGAAGAGATCGACATGTAGTCGATGCAATGAAAGTGGTCATACAAGGTTGACATGTGGATCACCAGTGCCATCACAATCATCTTTTCCTCTACCAAGATATGGATCATCATCAAAATCCAAATCTCATATGGTGTCAAGAAAAAGGCAATCAAAATCGCAATCATCTTTAAAATCCCAATCACAACTGGCTTCACCTTTTGGGACTGTTAACTTAGGTGATTTTTAAATGCAAACGTTGTATTATGTAGATTTTATGTGTGAACTTTTAACATTTTCAGTTAGGCATGTATTAGTAACTTGAGTTTGAAAATTGCTATGATCTGTTCAGTTGTTATCACATAATAGGCAATCATCTTAATGTCTATCGCAATGCGGAAATTACTATCGCAATGCGAAATGAAAATCGCAACGAGAGAATCGCAATGCGAAATGAAAATCACAACGCTAATTTCGCAATACAAAATGAAAATCACAACGAGGGAATCGCAATGTGAAATAAAAATCGCAACGCGAATTTAATTTCGCGTTGCGATTCTCTCGTTGCGATTTTCATTTCGCGTTGCGATTTTCATTTCGCATTGCGATAGTACTTTTTGCCTTCAACATAATGCAGATTGAAATCAACAAAATCAACCATTACATTTCAATCAATTAAATAAGCACAAATAAGAATTATGTTAACATCAATTAAACAAATCAACTTTTACAAATCACCTTTTACAAATCAATTAAACAATCAAAAAATAAGCAATAATTATTAGAGAAAATAACACTTCTACTATTGAATCAACTTTTGCAGCCATACATCATTTTCACGCAGCTCACTTCTAAGATTAACCTGCATAAACCAAACATTTGCTCAAACAACACTTTCTACACATCTAAAACCTACAAACAGCAAATTATTGAATTCTAGGTACTTAACCAAACATTTTCAAATCACAAGCCTATAAACATACCAATTGTTTATGGGCATTTTTATAACGCGGAAGCAGATAGGCAGCGTCTCGTATATATCGATCTAGCCATATAATGTCGAAACCACAAGCCTACTGCAGCTCTATCTATATCAATGGGAGGTAGATACTTTATACTTCCTGTGATCAAACGGTCTAATGCCAAGCATACGAGAGGACCACAATCCCCTCTGGGTCCTTTCGTTTGTTGTGGTGCGGTCTCGTCTCTGCTAACTGTAATATTGAGCTTCTTTGGCTTCTTGTTTCCAGAACGAGTCCAATAATTTATCGCATCCAAGAATTTAGCCAAATAAGAGCTCCATCCCTTAATAATATCTCTTAAATCAGCCAATGATATGTAATTTATCATGCTGTCATATACTATTTCCTTAAGGGATGGGATCTGAAGCTCGACGAGAAGCCAATGGTTACGTTCCAAAACAGGGATAAACACCTGCAATCATAAGTAATAATTCATTCATTTGTGCACTTATTTGTGTTAACTTACATTATTTATTGTCGCATATGGTATTAAGTCTTCCCAATCCAACAGACGTTTCCTCTTCCAGGAAATAGCCCTGGGAATATCATTTGAAGTTTTTATTGCATATGTCTTCATGGCGGGAAAGGCCTCGAATATCCAAATCTACAAATAATATAATAACAAATATTAGTAATTGTTAAATAATTAATTATAATTTTGAAAACATTATATAGAAATTCTTACCTTAAAGGCCCAAACAAAGCCTGACAAAGTGTATTTCGACCCATCGCCCCGCAAACTTTTGCGGTCATCAAAGGCAGACGACAACTTAGTCCAGGTAGCTTTCCATATATACGAACCCCACGGAAACAGATTCCATGCATTTAGGTCCTCTACCAATAATATTAGCTCCTGAGGAATAGGTTGTCTGGCCTCTCTGCCAAAAAAGCCGGCATACAAAAGTAGTAGAAGGCATACTCGGACAACATCGACGTCATTCATCCGAGTAAAACCATCTTTCTTATTAAACAATTTCTTCATGTCGTCGACGTGTAAGTTCGGCTTCTCTATTGACTCATCAGGAAAAACCCTGGATAACCATGATGGGCGGGTGATATGACGAGTGTACCGGCCTACATCATCGTGTCCGAATCGTAGACCAGTGATTATGCAGAACTCCTTCCGCCCAAAACAAGTATACACCGGTGGAAAATGAAACCATATCTCTTCCTCACCACGTTGTATACTGTCGGGTAGATCGCTAGTCATGGTCTGAAGCCACAAATGGGTCAAATTAGCATCTCCACCCGGATGCTGTACTCTCAGCCATGGCCCGAAGCAGGTTTCTTCAAACAATTTTCTTTGTGCAGGTGAAAGCTTCGAAGCAATTGTAGTGGCTAGGCTAACTTTATTCCTTAATGTCAATGAAGCCGAAAAAAATTTCTACAAAAACAATAAACATACCAAGTTAGATATACCAAAAACTACACTGTCAAGATATACCAAAAACAATAAACATAAATAGTAGTTTATTCTTGAAACTAAAATTTGCAACACTGTTTTGTCTTTTGGTTGAAATGAAAATCGCAACGAGATAATGAGAATCGCAACGCGGAAATGACTATCGCAACGAGAGAATCGCAACGCGAAATGACTATCGCGACGAGAGAATCGCAACTCGAAATGAAAATCGCAACGCGAATTGAAAATCGCAATGCGATTTTGGTTTCGCGTGCGATTTTTATTTCGCGTTGCGATAGTTATTTCCGCGTTGCGATTTTCATTCTCGAAACTATTCTTCTTCTGCATTACTTCAACCAAAAGACAAAACAAAGACAAATACTAACTTCACAGGCTAAACAGTTTAGCAGTATTGGCAGCAATTGAATGAATTTAATAAGAAATCTAAGTGAAATGGTTAATCTATTATTGAAATTACCAGTAAACTTATCATCAATCTCAATATGAAAAACCTAAAATAATGCAAAAATTTCAACAACAAAAAAAAAACTAACCCTCGGAGGTTGGTTTTCCATTTCTGAATGATTGTGAGGGATTTTTTGACTGTGAATGGTTGTGAGGGATTTCGCCGGCGATGGGGACGGAAATCTTCGGAGATGGGGATGGATTTCGCCGTAGAGAGTGAGAGATGGAGATGGGACTGAGTGTTGTGATTTTGGGTTTGAGGTTATGAGTTGCGATTACTATGGACGATTCAGTTTCCGATTTATTAAGAAAAAAATCGTGTTTGGAATTTGAAAAAAAAAATACGCGTTAATACGAATGGCACTATGTAAATCGCGTTGCGAAAGTCAGAATCGCGTTGCGAAAGTCAGTATCTCGTTGCGATTTTGTATTATCGCATTGCGATAGTAAGTATCGCATTGCGATAGTCAGTATCGCATTACGATTTTCCCAATTCGCGTTGCGATTTACTTATTCGTATTGCGAATTGGGAAAATCGCAACGACACTGTAGACCATCGCAACGTGATTTCCAACTATCGCAACGCGAAATGCAACGCGAATTTGCGATAATGGAGATCGCGTTGCGAATTAGCGATCGCATTGCGATTTTGTTGGTCATTTTGGCAAATCCGGAAAAAGTTGGTTAAAATCGTATATTATAAGGCATTTTTGGTCACTGAGGCGATTTTCTCGTTTCTTATTAATCGGTTACCTACTTGAGCATTGTCTGGCATTTCACCATATGAAAAACTTTTTCACAAAACACCTGATTATAGTTTTTAAGGGTTTTTGGTTGTGTGTGTTACCCGTTTCTAAGACCTTATAATCAACATAAATGTCAGTTTCGGTCCTCTGCTTGTGTCTTCTTGGGTTACTCTCCTACTCATAAGGGATACAAATGCTTAGATTCTAGTGGTCGAGTCTATGTGTCAAGACATGTTCGCTTTGAAGAAAATGAGTTTCCTTATCAACAACTTCAAAACCCTTCTAGTACCTCTACTCCATCTATGATATACAATCCTACTAAAACTTAACAAAAGTGTTCAAGTGTCAAAAATATTAGCTCCCAAGGCAATATGTTTTATCCTTCTTTTCTTTCTTCAACTAACACACACATTCACAAGTTAGTCTTACCATCTTCCTCTCTACCACAACAAATGTCAGAGTTGTCATCACCAATATCAACACCTCATCCTTCAAATCTACCATCTATCACACCTTCAACATTATCACATTCATTCACCTCATCACCATCCAATGCACCTTCATCACAACCATCCACATCATCTTCGTCTCATCCATTCACAACTACTACATCACTACCACCATCTCCATCTCAGTCATTTACATCACTACCACCATCTCAATCATCTACATCACTACCATCATCTCCATCTCCATCACCATCACCACCATTGTCACGGCAAGTTCAGAATATACATTCCATGGTTACTCGAGGGAAGGCTGGAATTTTCAAACCCAAAATATTGCTTGCTGAGACAAGTCCTCAAGAGCCAACTAGTGTCTATGAAGCACTGCAGCATCCTCGTTAGTGTGAAGCAGTTCACAGTGAGTATAATGCTCTTATGAAGAATGGTACGTGGGAGTTGAAACCTCTGTCACCTACACGCAAAGCAGTGGGCTGCAAGTGGCTTTTTAAAGTTAAGAAGAAGCCTAATTGGTCAGTTGACAGGTTTAAGGCTCGTCTGGTTGCCAAGGGCTATTCACAAGTGGTAGGGAGAGACTTCTCTGAGACATTTAGTCCAGTTGTTCGAGCAAGCACAATCAGGACCGTGTTGGTTGTTGGTGTCATAAAGAACTGGCCACTTAGACAAATTGATATTAACAATGCATTCATCAATGGGAAGTTAACTGAGGAAATTTACATGAGTCAGCCTCCGGGGTTTGAGAAGAAGAGTAAAGATGGACAGGAACTGGTGTGTTGTTTAAAAAAGGCACTTTATGGGCTTAGACAAGCTCCTAGAGCATGGTTTGAGACCTTGAGGAAATTTTTGGTTAAAAGCCTTGGTTTCACTGTTTCAAAAGCTGATTCCTCCTTGTTTATCAGAAGTTAAGCTTGCTCTCAAGTGATTTTAATGGTGTATGTTGATGATATAGTCATCACTGGAAGCCAGGAAATGGAAGTGGATGCCATAGTGCAAGCAATCAATGAGGAGTTCTCTCTTAAAGACTTGGGTCAGTTAGAGCTCTTTCTTGGAATGCAAGTTGAGCATACTACAGAAGGTTTAATTTTAAATCAGAAGAAGTACATTTCTGATTTATTGAGAAGATCAAATCTAGATGAGTCAACACCTACACCTACTCCTATGGTCCTTACTCCCAAGCTTAAGGCAAATGATGGACAGTTGTTTGGAGATGTTCATCTTTATCGTAGCATTGTGGGAGGATTGCAATATGTGTGTTTAACAAGACCTGACATAGCGTTTGCTGTTAACAAAGTTAGTCAGTACATGAATAGCCCATGTGATACTCATTGGAGGGCAGTAAAGCGCATACTAAGGTATCTCAGTGGTACACTTGAGCATGGGTTGTTTTTCACTCAATCTGGAAATTTTAGTCTGGTCTGCTACACTAATGCAGACTGGGTAGCCTCGGTGGAAGATAGACGATCCACGACAAGCTACTGTGTTTATCTTGGAGGAAATCCAATTGCATGGTGTTCTAAGAAGCAAAGTGTTGTATCTCGGTCTACATCAGAAGCAGAATATAGAAGCCTTGCTAGTTCTGTTTCTGAATTGATTTGGATTGAACAACTACTTGACGAAATTGGGGTTAGTGTAGTTGGAAAACCAGTTGTGTGGTGTGATAACACTTCTGCAATCTCTATGGCAGCAAATCCAACACATCATGCTCGTATAAAACATGTAGAGATTGACATTCACTTTGTAAGGGAGAGAGTTCTAGTTGAACAACTCAGTGTCAACTTTGTTCCTTCTGCAGAACAAGTGGCTGATATACTCACTAAGCCTTTACCACCTGCAGTATTCAGTGATATGCGCTTTCGACTTGGTGTAAAGTCTTGGGCAAAAATTAGTGGGACCAGTCGTGAAAAGCAGGTCTGAAGAAGCCAAGAAAATGTTGAAATGGTAATTTAGATCATTAGAAAACCCAGAGAATGTTAGAGTATAATAATGCAACTGTCCTCAGCTGATTAGCAGTAACCGTTTCTGGTTAGTTAAGTTGTTATAACTGAATTCTGTTAGTTGGGCCAATTAGTTAAGCCATGTGTTATATATAGTGGGCCTGTCCACTATACATGACCCAAGTATGAAATACTCTTTCTGTAGCTTATGATCTTTGTATTCGTTTTCACATATTCAGTAAAACTTCAGTTTACATCATTTTCTTTCTGCAGCTTTAATTCCCTCTTCTCTCTTCCAGTTTACCATAGCAATTGTCTCATCTTTTTTCTATCAAGTTTGATCACCGGTCTTTCCGTTAACCAGACAATATGGTGTTTTCTTGCTAAAGATAGTTTCAGATGCACCTGGAAGCTAGCAACTTAATAACCTAGCTACCATAGAAATGAGAATAATGAATGAAGAATAAGAACAATTGAATGAAGTCGAATAAAATTTATGGGGAAAGTTGAGTAGTCTAATGGCCTTACTTTCCTTTAACCAGACAAATAGGGTGCTTTTTTGCCCAAGAAAGGGTTCAGATTATACTCGGGAGCTTGAAGCTTAACGTCTTTGCTTCCACCAAAAAGAAAGTCCCAATAAATTAGAACAGTTTTGACAAAGGAAAAGAGTTTCAGAAATGTAGTGTTGAAGAAGAATTTGTGAACCAGCTCGCTGTAGTGTTCAATTAAGTGGAGAATAATAACAGTTCAGCTAATAAAAAAAGGGTGAAGAAGCAAAGTGAATGAAGACAGAAATAAGACACCATTTTTCTTTAGAATGTCATGCTAATAGTGTTTTTTTCCTCTTTAAGAATATCAAGAAAGTTGAAGAAACATAGTGAATATTAGAAGAAATTTAAATAGCTTGATTTTGTTAATGGTTTGATATTAGCAGTTGGGTTATTGTTAGTTAGGCAGACTTAATCTTTGGGCAATTTCTGTTGAATATGGATTATAAATACCCATAATTGGGACATAAATAATGAGAAGTATTGTAATCATTCTTTACACGATAAAATCATATTTTCATTACCTGTTTGTAATTCAAATGTAAAATTCAATCACCGCCGCCTCTTCTCTTTCACACACTTTTGTCACCGACCGTTCTTCATTATATGCCATCAATGACAGCTTTCTCACATGGAATCTTATTTTTTTTATTTTGTCTAGTATGGATCATACACTGTGATCTTATCTATTGTTTTTGAAACAAAGACGATGGCGAAAAAAAAATATCTTTTGGGAATTTTTTTCTCTTTATTTAGAAGAGAAGTACGAAAATCTAAAAAAGTGGAAGTTTGCATGATTATTAAAAGAGGTTTCCACGTGATTTCTTGACACGGCCAACCTACACCATGCATCTTACTCGTACTTCTAAGAATTTTTAAATTCTCTTATATTTAATTTTTTTATATTTTGTATTGATTATTTAGTTTCACACCCCTTAAAATTTTTAAGAGAAAATAACTTCAGTGATCGAAAATTCCTTATAATATACGATTTTGACCAACTTTTTTTCGATTTGCCAAAATGACCAACAAAATCGCAATGCGATCTCTAAATCGCAACGCGATCTCCAGTATCGCAAATCAGTTTCTATATTCGTAACGCGATTTTGACTATCGCATTGCGATTTTCCAAATTCGCGTTGTGATTTTAGAAAATCGCAACGCGATTCTGACTATCGCAACGCGAATATGTAAATTACAACGCGATTCTGACTATCGCAACGCGATAATATATAATCGCAACGCGATTCTGACTATCGCAACGCGATAATACATAATCGCAACGCGATTCTGACTATCGCAACGCGATAATACATAATCGTAACTCGATTCTGACTATTGCAACGCGATAATACATAATCGCAACTCGATTCTGACTATCGCAATGCGATTCTGACTGTCGCAACGCTGAATTTCAAATTCGCAACAGGATTTAGTTTCGCAACACAAATGTTTTGGGTATATAACTACGCAGCAGCAACAACTCATAACCTAAATCCCTAAATCGCAACTCATTCCATCTCCATCTATCACTCTCTCTGGCGACATCCGTTCCTATATCCAACGACATCCTTCCCCATCCGGCAACATGTTTTAGTTTCGCAGCACGTTTGTTTAGTAAATTAATTTACAATAATGAAATCATCTAATGTTGATCATGTTTGGATAGATTTGTGTTTTGGAGGGTCATGGGAGAATGTTCATGGTGTTTTACAATATATGCCTTTACCCATGAATCTTCAACTAAAACTGTCATTAAAAAAGTTAACTTATGAAACTCTAATGTTACGTGTTGCAAATAAATTGAATTTAGAGCCCTAAAGTGGATTTAGGTTATCTTATCAGAGAAAAGGTAAAGTTTATTTGTTAACCGACAATGAAGATGTTGAACGATTCATTGCTTACATTAGTGTTTCGCAAGATGATGTTACATTGTATGTTGTTGAACCTAGAACTAGTGAAGTTGGGTCAGTAGCGGGTAGTAATCAACTAAGTTTTTCAACCCCAGTTTATGGTGCTCAAAATTTAATGGTTCCACCACAATTTCATCACCAAGCAAATTTTGTTTCACCACATTTCCAATTCCAAACACAATCTCAAAACCCACAACATTTCCCTAATCCAAATCCCAATAAACTTTCAGCACCAAATTTCGGTTTTCGTATTGACCAGTTAGACAATGATGAGCCAACAGAAAAAATTATGAGTACTAGTCAGTATTCGAAATTTGATCTTGGTCAATACCCGGACTTTGATCTTGGTCAATACTCGGATTTTGATGATGTTTCAGAAGAATAAACATACCCTACATGTAATGATTTTGATATTGGTCAATACCCAAATTTTGATGATGAAACAGCCGCTGCCGAGGAAGATGTTGTTGATGGTAATGAGGAGGAAGTTACGACTATGAATGAACATGTTGAACATCCATTTTGTAATTCATATAACCCTGAAGAAGAAAAAGAAGAAGAAGAAATCCCCGAAGAAAATGCCACGGGAGTATAACTGGAATATGCCAGAATTACTTCAGATACCGGAAGAAGAGTTGGTAAAGATAGTAGTTGATTGTTACACAAAAATTATTCGTATCAAGAAAGATGATTGTTTTGATACAAAGGAAGACTTGAAGATAGCTTTGTATACGAAATGTGTGGAAGATGGCTATCAACTAAAAGTTAACAAATCAAGCAAAGATCATTTTGAAACAAGGTGTATGATTGACAAAAACTGTACGTGGCGTATGATTGCAAAGAGGATAAAAGATTATGAAATGTTTCAAGTTAGGAATTTTATTGATAAACATACATGTTCAAGAACCCAAGTTTTTCCTCGCCATAGACAGGCAAACAGAAAGGTGTTGGGTGGTTTTCTGGCTGAGTTAATGTTTTTGAATGGCAGGGTATATCGGGAACATGAAATTATGACTGACATGAATGCTCGGTTCAAGATTAGTATCTCATATTCTCAAGCTTGGAGAGCCAAATAATATGTCTTGGAATTGTTGAGGGGGTAGCCAGAAGCATCGTTTGCCCAACTGTCGGCTTATTGTCACAATTTAAAGCTGAAAAATCTTGGGTCGATAACTCATATCAAAACATATAGAGATGGACGCTTTGAGTTGTTGTTTATCGCCATTGGTGCTTCGGTTAGTAAATCAATATAATTTTGTTGACTCATTTTTGTTAGTTACATGCATTTCACATTTAAATGATTATATTTCTTGTGTATATGATTTTGTAGATTCGTTCGTTTATTACTTGCATGCGCCCAGTTATTATAGTTGACGGAGCACATTTAAAAGGTCGATACCTTGGAGTAAACTTATTAGCAGTAGCCATGGATACTAACAATGGGATATTGCCAATAGCTTACGGGGTTAGCAAATCTGAAACCTCTGATTCATGGACATGGTTTATGGGGCATCTTAGGGATTGTATAGGTCCTATTAGCAATCTGACAATCATATCCGATAGGGCAAACTCAATTGACAACGCTGTTAGAAGGTGTTTCCCATATGCTTTTCATGGACTTTGTGGTGTTCATTTGTATAGAAATCTAAAATCAAGGTATGCTGGTATAAAAAATCACAAATGGACATACTGGAAGGCTGTAAAAGCTTATCGGGAAGTGGATTTTAATAAGCATATAAATTGTTTAAGACGTGTTTTGCCTCAGTGTGCTCAAACACTAGAAGATGTCGGGTTTGAAAGATGGTCAAGAGTACATCAACTTGGAGCAAGATATGGTTTTATGACGTCTAATAGTGCAGAATCAATCACCGCTCTAAGTCGTCATTCCCGGAAATTACCCATTACTATATTAATGGAGTTTTTTCGAGCCTCTATTCAACAGTGGTACTACAAGAAAAGAAACCATGCAGGTATTATTTCTTTAAATTCGTAACTTATCATATATTTTACTAAGTATTATTTATTTAAATTTACAAGAACATTGGAACATCGTGTTACACCATGGACTGAAAAAAAGATAACGAAACGTGTTGTGAAGTCAACGTCATGGAGAGTTGAACCATGTTCAAACACTTTGTTTGAAGTATTGGATAATAACTTAAATGGGCTTGTCGATCTAAATGCAAAGACGTGTAATTGTATGAAATGGAAAACATCTGGTTATCTGTGTGGCCATTTTATAAAAGTTACTCTTCATCTAAACCAAGATGATTCAAGCGCATACACTATGGATTGCTACACTACAGAAGTATATCGACAGACTTATGTTGAGATTATCTACCCTATTCCACATCCTTCTGACTGGGACATACCAGATGACTTACAAACAGTTTTGCCACCTGTCATGGACAGAAGGCTACCTGGCCGACCAAAAAGTCACGATCGTATACCGTCTAAGGGTGAAGAGAAGAAGAGATCGACATGTAGTCGGTGTAAGGAAAGTGGTCATACAAGGTTGACATGTGGATCATCAGTGCCATCACAATCATCTTTTCCTCTACCAAAATATGGATCCTCATCAAAATCCAAAGCTCATATGGTGTCAAGAAAAAGGCAATCAAAATCGTAATCAAAATCAAAATCCCAATCACAACCGGCTTCACCTTTTGGGACTATTAACTTAGGTGATTTTTAAATGCAAACGTTGTATTATGTGTATTTTATGTGTAAACTTTTAACATTTTCAGTTAGGCATGTATTAGTAACTTGAGTTTGAACATTGCTATGATATGTTCAGTTGTTATCACTTATTACACATTCATTTGAATATCGCAACGCGAATTTGACTATTATGTGTATTTTATTTGTAAACTTTTAACATTTTCAGTTAGGCATGTATTAGTAACTTGAGTTTGAACATTGTTATGATCTGTTCAGTTGTTATCACTTATTACACATTCATTTCAATATCGCAACACGAATTTGACTATCGCAACTCAAAAATCGCAACGCGAATTTGACTATCGCAACGCGAATTTGACTATCGCAACGTGAATTTGATTATCGCAACGGGAATTGGACTATCGCAACGAGAAAATCGCAAAGCGTATTAGACTATCACAACGCGAATTGACTTTCGAGTTGCGATTTTGGCTTTCGCATTGCAATTTTGACTTTCGCATTGCGATTTTGAGTTTAGCGTTGCGAAAGTATACCTTCAACAGGTCTTTTGCCTTCAATATGATGCAGATTGAAATCAACAAATCAACTTTTACATTTTAATCAATTAAACAAGCACAAATAAGAATTATTTACACATCAATTAAACAAATCAACTTTTACAAATCAACTTTTACAAATCAATTAAACAAGCAAAAAATGCTAATAATTCTTATTTTCCTCATCAATTAAACAAATAAGACTTTTAAGAATCAATTAAACAATCAAAAAAAGTGTACCCCAGACAGTTGTTTATGCACCCATACATCAATTTCACGCAGCTCACTTCAAGATTAACCTGCAGAAACCAAACATTTGCTCAAACAACACTTTCTATACATCTAAAACCAATAAACATCAAATTATTATTGAATTCTAGATACTTAACAACACTTGCATTTGACTTACAAATTGTTTATGGACATTTTCATAACGCGGATGCAGGTAGCCAGCGTCTCGCATATATCGCTCTAGCCATAAAATGCCGAAACCACAAGCCTACTGCACATCTATCTCTATCGGTGGGAGGTAGAAACTGTGTACTTCCTGTCGTCAAACGCTCCAAGCACATGCATATGAGAGGACCAAAATCCCCTCTGGCTTCCTGCGTTTGTTGTGGCATGGTCTCGTCTCTGATAACTGTAACATTGAACTTCTTTGGCTTCTTGTTTCCAGAATAAGTCCAATAATTAATCTCATCCAAGAATTTAGTCAAATGAGAGCTCCATCCCTTAATAATATCTCTCAAATCAGATAATGATATGTAATTTATCATGCTGTCATATACTATTGTCTTCAGGGATGGGAGCTGAAGCTCAACGAGAAGCCAATGAGTACATTCCAAAACAGGGATAAACACCTGCAATCATAAGTAATAATTCAATTGCGCACTTATTTATGAACACCTTTAAAATATTTAAAAAATAAATACTAACCTTATCGACCTCCCACCATGCAGGATAAAGTTTAGCTTGTCCATTAGCCAACACATATGATTCATGTCGTTGATTCTTCAAGTGAACTACGTGAAAAGACGTCGGCATAATTGTATATCGCGTATTTTTTTATTTTTCCTCATTTTCCTTATCATTAGAAGACGTGACACTCATGCATCAATATGTTGTTTTATAAAAAAAAGACATATATTAGTGAATTAGATAAATTTAAAAAAATTAATCAAAATGAAATATAAGAAAAATATAAGACTTACCCCCCATCGAAATAGCCTTTGTCTTCAACCCCTAATAACACACCCCACCAAGACCGATCAATCAACAAATGTATATCATCGTTGAGTTTGTATATGTCAGTGTAACACCCTGGCTCCGCTCATGTAGATAAAAATCAACTGCGGTCTTAACCCAAAGGGTATTATCCAGAATTGTTTCCGGTAGTTTTCTCCTCTCCACTTCATCTGCCGGAATGGTACTGGCTGGTAACTCATACGAAAGCCAACAGTCATCCATCATGTCCGGCACGTGAGAGGGTTTCTCAATAATTCGACATATTACATCGTGTGAATCGGGCTCTTGAATTATAGGAGGGACCTCTTCAACGATGACAGGGGCCTCTTGAACGATGGGAGGGGACTTTTGAGGGATGATAGGGGCCTCTTGAACGATAGGAGAGGCCTCTTGAACGATGACAGGTGAGTCGGGCTTCTTCTTACGGAGTCTTCGCACTATTGGGGTGAATGGAGACGTAATGGCACGTGCACACCGTCTGATTCGTGAACCCCGTCGTGCAAGAAAAACCCGACGTAAAGCATCCACCTTATCGGGCCGCTAAAAATAAATGAATACATAAATCAGTAAATAAACAGACATGATATTAAACAGTGAAAACAAAGACAAATATGTTTCAAACTTGCACGGTATTCACCCAAGTCATTATTCTATCATAGTTCACAAAATGCATCAGATAACATTCCAGAAGTAAGCACTTATATAAACATTTAAAAGGACAACATATAGGTTTAGTGCATGTTCAAGGACAACATAAAGAGTAGTAGTTTATTCTTGAAACTTAAATTTACAACACTGTGAAGTTAGTATTTGTCTTTGTCTTTTGGTTGAAGTAATGCAATCCATTCAAGTTTCAATTTGCAGAAGAAGAATAGTTTCTGAAACTTAAAATCGCAACACGAAACTTAAAATCGTAACGCGAAAATGACTATCGCAACGCGAATTTGACTATCTTAACAAGATAATCGCAATACGAAATAAAAATCGCAACGCGAAACTAAATTCGCGTTGCGATTTTCATTTTCGCATTGCGATTTTCAAGTTGCGATTTTTATTTCGCATTGCGATTATCCCGTTGCGATAGTCAAATTCGCGTTGCGATAGTCATTTTCGCGTTGTGATAGTCATTTTCGCATTGCGATTTTAAGTTTCGTGTTGCGACTATTCTTCTTCTGCAAATTGAAACTTGAATGGATTGCATTACTTCAACCAAAAGACAAAACAAAGACAAATACTAACTTCACAGTGTTATTTTAGAACTGTTTAGCAGTATTGGCAGTAACCGAATGAATTTACTAAGCAATCTAAGTGAAATGGTTAATCTAAGTGAAATTACAAGTAAATCAAGTTAAATATGAAAAATCTTAAACTTACCTCGTTGCGTAGAGTATGAACCTCATTTTGCAACGATGCTACCATCTCACGTAGAGTCGCTACCTCACCACGTAAAGTAGATACCTCATCACGCCATGCACCATTGTCATCGCGTAAAGTACCGACCTCCTCACGCAAGGCATTGACCTCATCAAGTAACTCCCCTAACTCATCCCGTGGAGGTGGAAGTGGAGAACAGGGAGATAAATGTCGTGGCATCTTTGTTGGTCGCCTATCATGAGGTGATGGTGGAGAAGAGGCTCGATGATATAACGGAATAGGTGATGGCTCTCGTTGTAGAGGTGTATAGTGTGGTCGATCAGGTGATGGCTCTGGGTCAGGTGATGGCTCTCAAAATGGAGGCTGCTCATCATCCGTGCCATCAAAAAAACGCTTACTAGCTTACCACCAATCAGTGGCAAGCTCAGCCTCCATGGGTGTCAGCCTCTGTAATGGAGTGTTGGCCTCCTAACAATATAAAAGCTCAAACAAAGTTAAATGTGTACTAGTAATAACTTGTTTATATATGGTAGTATTTATGTTAACTTACATCATTTATTGTCGTATACCATAGTAACTCTTCCCAAATCAACAGCCACCGTTTCCTCTTCCAGGAAATAGCTCTAGGAATATCATTTGAAGTTTTTAATGCATATGTCTACATGTCGGGAAAAGCCTCAAATATCCAAATCTACAAATAATATAATACACAAACATTAGTAATTGTTAAATAATTAATTATAATTTTGGAAACATTATATAGAAATTCTTACCTTAAAGGCCCAAATAAAGCCTGACAAAGTGTATTTGGAACCATCGCCATGCAAACTTTTGCGGTCGTCAAATGCAGACGACAACTTATTCCAGGTAGCTTTCCATAGATACGGACCCAACAGAAACAGGTTCCATGCATTTATGTCATATACCAATAATATTAGGTCCTTAGGAATAGGTTGTCTGGCCTCTCTGCCTAAAAAGTCGGCATGCAAAAGTACTAAAAGACATACTCGGACAACATCGACGTCATCCATCCGAGTAAAACCATCTTTCTTATTCAATAATCTCATCAAGTCGTCGACGTGTAATTCGGCTTCATGACAGCTCAGGAAAAACCCGGGATAACCATGATGGGCGGGTAATATGACTAGTGTATCGACCTACATCATTGTGTCCGAAGCGTAGACCAGTGATTAAGCAAAACTCCTCCTGCCCAAAACAAGTATACGCCGGTGGAAAATAAAACCATATCTCTTCATTACCACGTTTTATACTCTCGGGTAGATCGCTAGTCATGGTCTGAAGCCATAAATGGGTCAACATAGCATCTCCACCCGGATGTTGTACTTTCAGCCATGGCCTGAAGCAAGTATCCTCAAACAATTTTCTTTGTACATGTGAAAGCTTCGACGCAATTGTAGTGACTAGGCTTATTTTATTCCTTAAGGTCAATTGAGCCGAAAAAAAGTTCTACAAAAATAATAAACATACCAAGTTAGATATACCAAAAACTACACTGTGAAGATATACCAAAAACAATAATAAACATAAAGAGTAGTAGTAGTTTATTCTTCAAACTTAAATTTGCAACACTGTGAATTTCGTATTTGTCTTTGTTTTTTGGTTGAAGTAATGCAATTCATTCAAGTTTCAATTTACAGAAGAATAATAGTTTCTGAAACTTAAAATCGCAACACGAAAATGAAAATCACAACACGAAAATGACTATCGCAACGCGAATTTGACTATCGCAACGCGAAATGAAAATCGCAACGCGAAATGAAAATCGCGTTGCGATTTTGTCGTTGCGATTTTCATTTCGCGTTGCGATCCTCAGTTTCAAATAGTCATTGTCTAAAATTAAAACTTGAATGAATTGCATTACTTCAACCAAAAGACAAAACAAAGACAAATACTAACTTTACAGGGTTAAAGACTAAACAGTTTAGCAATATTGGCAGCAATCGAATGAATTTTAATAAGCAATCTAAGTGAAATGGTTAATCTATTATTGAAATTTCCAGTAAACTTATCATCAATTTCAATATGAAAAATCTAATAATATTGCAAAAATTTCAAAATAAAAATAATTAAAAAAAACTAACCATCGGTGGTTGATTTGGTTGATTTTCCATTTATGATCGTGAATGATTGTGAGGGTGGCTCTGAGAGATGGAGATAGACGGATTTTGTCGGAGATGGGGACGGACTTCGTCGGAGATGGGGACGGATGTTGTCGTAGAGAGTGAGAGATGGAGATGAGATTGAGTTGTGATTTAGGGTTTTAAGTTAAGAGTTGCGATTACGGGATATATTAATATTCATGTTTGGAATTTGAAAATAAAATACGCGTTGCGATACTAATGGCGCTTTGAAAATCGCAACGCGAATTTGAAAAATTGCAATGCGATAGTCAAAATCGCGATGCGAATCTGGAAACTGATTTACGATATAGGAGATCGCGTTGCGATTTAGAGATCGCATTGCGATTTTGTTGGTCATTTTAGCAAATCGAAAAAAAGTTGGTCAAAATCGTATATTATAAGGAATTTTTGGTCACTGAGGTTATTTTCTCAATTTTTAATATAACTTCTTAAGTTCACACTCTAATATAAAATCTTTTGTACGTCCTTACCCTTTGCTTTAGGGTTGCTGATGTTACCATTTTTGTTTGGTGCCAACCAAAATCCTTTTGAAAAAACGTTTCAATGTGGTGTGTATTTGTTAAAAGGTATTATGATATTTTTCAGAATATTTTCAAAATTGATTTTTCATTTTTTGACTTAGACTGGTCGGGCACCCAATTTGGGCTCTTCCGAGTGTTATTAACGGATATCTATTTTTTAAACTGTTTTGGACTTAATAATTAAGACTACTTAATGATTTATTTATTTTTGACAGAAGTAATTAATTTTATTCAAAATAGAAAATATATCAAATTACAATAAACATTTACAATTACAATCGTAAATTAATCACATAATTAGGAAAATTTACTATAATCATTGAAACAAAACTAGTAACTTAAGATCACATAAGGACCATACAAGAAAAGATTAAAACTAACCAAGAATCTCGAACAAAGATAGATGTAAACATATCTTATCGCATCGGCAAACAAACTACAAAAAGGATAAAGCTATTGACAAACCACCAATAAACTGCAAATCAGACTTGAGCAATGTGAAAATCTATCCACGAACACAAATCGGGTATCCAAATTCAATATGAGGGTCCAAAGCAGGGAATATTACAAGATATCATATAAGCGTCATCTTGATCAATCGTGACAATGTCAAATCAACCCTTAAGAAAAAGATAAATAAAAAACGACCAAAGAACCGAAAAATATGCCAAAAACATAAGAAAATATACCATAAACGTAAATAAAAACATGCAACACAAGCAGATTTATTGAAAATAAAAAAGAAAAAGAAAATAAAGATACGATATAGAAAAGAAAAAATAAAGAATATAAATGGTCGACAATCAACATTAAAGTTGATGTTCGTCGCCGATCAATAAAGATAAAAAAAATGAACGACACACCAACAAAAGAAAATTAGGTTTAATGATTTATAAATTTTAAAACGCTTATTAAATTACATAATTGATTTTTAACGGAATAACTATCATATAATAAAAGGGTATGTTTAATGAAAATTGAACACGCGAGTAGCATGTCTTCCCTAGCTATAAGTAGATTATATTTTGATTTTTAAGCCGGTTATTATAGTAGTTTAACCCAGCTTTCTTCTCTCTGTCCCTCGCTTATTCTCTCTCTTTATCTCACAGTGTCTCCTCCCTTTCTCATGGATTCTTTTGGGCTCTTCTGTACTGGAGCTCTTCTTGCCTGCGGTCTTTACTGGTTCGTTTGCCTTTCAGGCCCAGCCGAGCAAAAGGGAAAGCGCGTTGTTGATCTCTCCGGTGGTTCCATATCATCCGAGAAAGTTCGGGCCAGCTACAAACAGTATTTGTCTTTCTTCCGGCAACCAAAGGAGATCGAAACCGCTGAGAAGGTTCCAGACTTTGTCGATACTTTCTATAACTTAATCACCGATATTTACGAATGGAGGTGGGGCCAATCCTTCCACTTCTCTCATTCAATCCGCGGGAAATCTCACCGGGACGCGACGCGCCTCCACAAAGAGATGGTCGTTGATCTCATCGAAGTCAAACTGGGAGACCGAATCCTGGACATCGGATGTGGTGTTGGAGGGTCCATGCGTGCTATTGCGACTCACTCGCAGGCCAACGTCGTTGGCATCACCATCAACGAGTACCAAGTCAACCGTGCTCGCCTTCACAACAAGTAATCCGGGCTAGATTCACTCTGCGAGGTCGTATGTAGGAACTTCTGTTTACAACTGCTTCGACGGCGCGTACTCGATAGAGGCGACGTGCCACGCACCAAAACTGGAAGATGTGTACGCCGAGGTATTCCACGTGCTGAAACTGGGATCTCTATACGTGTCTTACGAGTGGGTCACGACTGACAAGTACAGAGCTGAAAACTCTGAACACGTGGAGGTCATTCAAGGTATTAAAAGGGGCGACGCTTTGCCTGGCCTCAGAAGCTACAAGGATATTCCAGAGATCGCTAGAAATGTAGGCTTTGAGGTTGTGAAACAAGAGGATCTAGCCAAGCCATCGGCCTTACTCTAGTGGTGTAACATTCCAAAAGTCGGGTCAATGATTAAAATAGAATTTTGATAAATTTAGTGATTAATTTTAGAAAAGATGAAAAGTTTAGGGATTTAAATGAAAATTATTGATATTGGATTTAATAAAAAAGTTTAAAAGTAATAAGGGTATTATGGTCATTTTTCAGGGAAGATTTTTATTTTCCATTTATAAAGGGTAATAAGCACGTGGGAAATGATGGTTAATTCTTTCGTTTTAAAGATTGTTTTGATTCTTCAGATGTTAAGAAAGATTAAGGAAAGCTTTAGGTGGTTTAAAACTCAAAGATTAACAGGTTATGAGAAATTAAGAAAAATGAGTTTTTAAGTGAATATTTGAAATAGAAGGTAATAGAGTTGAAGATGAATTTGACTTGTCGATGGTTAAATTAAGGAATATGAAGTATTAAATTAGATTTAGAACATATTGAAAATTGAGTGTAATTCTTGAATGCCATATAAAGGATAGGATGTTAAGTTCAAAGAAGTGATTATTGAGTAAAATTGAGTTTAAGTGTGTGTATGAAAGTTAAGAATATTAAAGGAGGTGAAAGATGAAGAGTTGAGATGAAAAGTGAGTAAATTTCGTGCTTAAAATGGAATTTCTGGGTTGTGTGCATTGATGCATCTTCAATGTCTATCGATGCACTCTCAAATAAATGAACATCGAATGCAATTAGTGCATCGATGCATAAGGAGTGCATCGCTTAAGATGAAAACATCGAATGCAATTTGTGTACCGATGCATAAGTAGTGCATCGATGCACTCGTTAAAGGATGCATCGATACACTGTAGAGTGCATCGATACCTACATTATTTAAGAGATGAAAGTAACATTTCTTTTAGTCTAAGAAGTGATAGATTAGAATATATTAATTAGTATACTGATATGTATCAATATATTACTATATAGATATAGAATGTAATCTTGTTCTGGAACAATCCAAAGATTAGGATCGAGTCAAAGCAAGCAAGGCTAAGGTGAGTGCGTATTAGTTGATATATTATGATGAATGGAAATAAGACTTGTGACAAGTCTATTTCCTATATTAACATACATATAGGCATGTTATTGATATGAGCATAATTGTGCTATATTATTGTATATGTGGTATGATCTGTGTGAATGTATGTTATTGTTATGTGATTAAGATATCAATTATGTGATAATGAATGGTATGTATATATGGAATGTGAAGTAAGCTAAAGTATGTGAAGATATATATATATAAGATAAGCCATGTGGATATGATTTATGAGAGTATGAATGATATGATAAGAACACATGTTTATGTGATATGGCTATGTGAATATATAGTAAACATAATAATGATGCCCATGTTACGTGTCATGAGAGCTAGAGGTATAGTTGGCATGTCAAGAGTCGAGGGTTCTACGTGGTCCTTCGAGACATATATGTAATTCTATGGAACATATATGTGGTACTTCGATACACTTATTTGGTCCATTGTATTATGTGTATGGTTCTTAAGGAGTGGTCATTCGGGACAAATCAGTGGTCCTTCGGGACAAATATACAGTGCCCCTAGTGGGAATTTATTCGAGCTGTGGTGACAGCATCAATGCACAACCTCAATGAACTCACATATCTTTAGTTCTCCAAGTACATGGGTCAATAAAGAAATAATATACAGAAACTTAACATGATTGTCATATGTGATTGAACATTTGGATGTGAATGTATGAGTTTCATTTATTGCATATATGATATGTTCTATGTGAAATATGTTGATATGGATATATGAGAGTGTAAGTGAATATAATATAATTATATGATATGTTAGAGGTAATTTCACGAGAAATCTAGTGAACGCTATATATACATAGATAAGGAAGTGGTGAACTATATGATTAATGAAAATTGAGACCAAGCAGATAGTATATTAATTAAGGAAAAGGTATATAAATAAGTATAAAAGGATATTAGATAAGTAGTGCATGAAGGATATTAGATAAGTAGTGCATGAAGCTATATATGTTTAAAATAGAACTGTGAACTAATCTTGCTAAATTAGTAAGGGATATGAAATTTAGTATAAGAATCTAAGAAATCATATGAGAATATCAGAGGAATCAAATAACAATAAGATATGCAAATGTATGTTTATTAAATGAAGATTTGGTGAGGAATGAATTAAGAGAATATAAGAAATTAGGATATTAAAATATGTAACGAGAATTTATGGGTGAAATGTTAAATAGAAACATATAAAAAAGAGAGATAAGATATGTAGGATTGTGATCAAAATTACAGGATTAAGGATAGGGTACGTAAATGACTTAAATTAATATAGTAGAATGTGATATAAGGTAAGTAGTGTAAATTAAATGATTATAAGAATATGAAATAGTAAAAGTCATATGTGATATTATAAGGTTTGTGTATGTATTCATTTTATGAAGTGTATATAAAGATGTATGTTATAATAGCATTAATTATTCATATACATTGTTAGAAGTTTAGTTTATATTATATGTTTTATAAGCCTCACTAAGTCATAGACTTAGCGTGTGATTGTTTCACACGTAGGTTATAGAAGCGAGAAGAGAAACTAAGAGGAGCAAGACAGGTCAGCATATTCCTTACAAATATCGGATTAGAAATATATTAAATATATGCATTTTGTTTTATAGAATGTAGTTGGCATGTAGTATAAAGATTTGAATAGTATAAGCTCTTATATGTTTTGTAAAACCCATTTATGTCAATTAATGATAAAATATTCATTTTATCGAATAGTGAGTTGGATTTTTTATCCACCTGTAAAGGAAAATGTTTTGAAAAGTCAATGTGACACTTAGGACTCGAATTCGGGTCGGATACGGGTTGAGGGCGTTATAGGTGGACCAGGCTTAAGATGGGGAGAATCGCCTACTGGAGGAACCACCTTCTCGTCACCCTACTGGCGGCCATTGGGATAGCTCCTAAAGGAACCGTTGAGATTCACGATATGCTGTTCAAGACCGCCGATTATCTGACCAGGGGAGGGGATTCTGGAATTTTCCCCCCCATGCACATGATTCTTCTCAGAAAACCCCATGTCTCCCCTTCCAAATCTTAGTCACTTCTTTCATGTAATTTCATCCCAGTTCCTTTTTCCACATATAGTTTCTCAAGAAAAAAAATTAATTCCCTGGGTTTTTCTTTTATCTTTCCCCTACTTTTCTTAGTCGAAACCATGTACTCCATTTTCTATTTTAGTTTTATTTAAAATTCCAGTTATTTCATCCTTGGTGACATGCAAAGGAACGAAACTTTAGTTATTTCATGAATTTAAAATTCCAGTTATTTCATCCTTGGTGACATGCAAAGGAACGAAACTTTAGTTATTTCATGAATGAATGGAATATTTGTTGAATTCAAGTGGCTTGTTATGGTGAACCCAAATTTTGTGTAGATTAGTGATATTTAGTAGTAAGAGAAAATCAACGTTGTAGATCTAGGGTCACATTAATGTTATTTTTTTTACACCAGGGTCACATTAATGTTAAACTGCAAAACAATGGTACACAGTACGAAGATTTTGGGTACCTTTTTAGTTAGGGACATTTAATAAGAAAAGTAGTAGTTGGTAGTCTTAATATTTTTGCCAAAGCCAAGTGAATAAATGGGGTGATAGGCTGCATGTAAAGGTCAGGAACTTTGACTAAGGCGCTTAGATGGAGACTACTGGCAGGCATGGATCGGATCTCTGCAGTGCATCTGCGTAACTGTTCGACTTTTTGTGTGTTGTGTCACATTTTTTCTTATGTGTGGCCCATTAAGAGGACATGTGGGCCATAATTACGTTCGATCTCTCAGCCTGTCCCACTCATTGTTATGTCTTATTGTTAATATAGTTCTGATAATTGTTATTGTATTCGTTGCTCTCCACCTGGCCCTATAAATTAGAAAGAGTCGAATCTGAAATTTGGTATGGTGGTTGTAATCTAGTCTCCATATGCCATGAAATTTTCCAAGTTAAAACACTGCAAGCTAAGCCCAATTGACTCTCAAGTTGATATCACTGTATTTCTTTTTCACCAACAAAAACAACAATGAAAAATCCAGCCGAGTGATGGTACAAAAATATATCTTCCCAAGTGCCCAATAACAATACAGGAGAGGACATTAAAATATTTGGCTAATATGAAGGGAATAGGCCAAGGCGAGTGGTTACCATTTTTGAACGACTAGATTTTTAGATCTCATCTTTAATCCGTAGTTGTTCTTGTTCTCGAGGGAGGAACCCCCTGAAGCAACTTCAGAACAGAGCTATTTTTTTCTCACTTGCATTTTGCCTCGTCTCGTAATGGCAGCAATCACTAATTCCTTAACTAAACCACCTCCTCCTTATCTTTACTTCAGCACACATATCACTTCTCTTCGCTCTCATGGCTATTTTCCATCATCCTTGGTTACTAGGCCAAGACCCTTTTCAACAAAACTAGAAACCAGCACAATCCCTCGCTTCGTGACCCAGGCCACTGCTGCTCCTGGTACAAAGAATGCCCCAAGTGATGAGAGAGTTCAGAAGGTTCACAGCATCGACGAATTCGATGAAGCACTCCAAAAGGCTAAAAACAAGCTTGTCGTGGTTGAATACGCCACCAGCTACAGTTACCATAGCAGCAGGATTTACCCATTTATGGTGGAACTTAGCAGGATTTCGCGTTTTTTGTTATTTTGAATTTACCGTGATTGCGGCCGTCGCGGACGCTATTATGGCCGTCGCGGGTAACTCGGACGACGGCGAAACCGCTATATCACGGCTGAAATTGCGGTCGCGAACCGTTTTTTAAAACCCTCACAACGATGTAGAATTCATCCTCGTGATGGGCGACGAATCCGACAATACCAGGGAGCTTTGCCAAAGGGAGAAAATCACCA